TTTAATAATACATATTAAACTGTCTATATATTGCAAGATTTTAATTCAGTGAACTCTGGAGTGATGATGGTTTTACCTCAGGAGAATAAATAAATAAATGACTAGAATATTAAATATTTTACAGCATAACGATACAAAAATACACTTTCTATGCCTTTCCAGGCCTCAACATCGCCATTTTTATCATTCACTGACATTGCTTCCCTTTGTAACATCAAAGAAAGTGGCGAAAAACTATTTTAAAAAACCTCTAGTAACACTCCGTAACAGAGCTTTGTCAAACAATTACGATAACACTACCATCCCGATATACAATATATATGTATCACTAACAACAACAACAAAGTAACAATGTAACAGAACAAAAGAGACAAATCAGTGTAGAGTTGCGAAACATGACACTTTCGTTTTCAATTCAGTGATATGGAGAGTTTCTGAACTTACATGTCGCTGCGGACTGGAGAGTAACAACTGCAAGCACGTAACTCACCTAATAAACTTCAGTTTGTAGATTAATTTGAAACAAAATAACTGCTCTATTTGTAACACTGTAGCTCCTCTCGCTTCCCGTAAGAACTGCCCACAGACGTGCGCCCCCTGCTGGCACACCGCACAGTTTCCTTTATAGTTTACACAGTTTCGCACATATTATTAGTTTTTATTCTTTTATACACTACCAGTCAAAAGTTTTTGAACAGTAAGATTTTTAATGTTTTTAAAGAAGTCTCTTCTGCCCACAAAGCCTGCATTAATTTGATCCAAAATATATTTAATATTTTAAAATGTAATTTATTTAAAAGCTGTATTTTCAGCATCATTACTGCAGTCTTCAGTGTCACATGATCTTCAGAAATCATTCTAATTTGCTGATTTGCTGCTTAAGAAACATTATTATTATTATCAATGTTGAAAACAGCTGAGTAGAATTTTTTCAGGATTCTTTGATGAATAGAAATATCCAAAGCTTTTGTAACATTATAAACTATGCCATTTAAAAGCTTGGAGTCAGTATAATTTATTTATTTTTGGGGGAAAGAAATTATAGAAATTCAGCTGTTTTCAACATGATGATAATAATAATAATGTTTCTCAAGCAGCAAATCAGCAAATTAGAATGATTTCTGAAGATCATGTGACACTGAAGACTGGAGTAATGATGCTGAAAATACAGCTTTGGTCACAGAAATAAATTAAAGTTTATAATATATTCAAATAGAAAACAGTTATTTTAAATAGTAAAAATATTTCACAATATTACTGCTTTTGCTGTACTTTGGAACAAATAAATGCAGGCTTGGTGAGCAGAAGAGACTTCTTTAAAAAACATTAAACATCTTACTGTTCAAAAACTTTTGACTGGTAGTGTATATTTTAATAATTAAAGTGACATTAATTATGTTATATAATATAATATGATATAGAATGATAGATAGATAGATAGATAGAATGATAGATAGATAGAATAAGTAATGGTTATTGGGTAAAAGAAGTACTGACTGTAATTGGTCCAGCAGGTGTCTGTGTTGGTCGCATGTTACTGTGAGCACACTGTTGCATATTCTTGTTTTATTGTGTAATTATTTAGTTCTTTAATAAATAGAAAAGGCATTTGGATTGTGTTTATAGGTAATACAGAATATAGTTCTTTGCTTTTGATCGGTTAATGAAATAATTAATTTTTTTAATATTTATAATATTCATTCAATTCAAATGTATTTGTATAGCTTATTTTCACAATACACATTGTTTCAAAGCAGCTTTACAGAAAATGTGCATGCATGGGTCTAATGTTATAAGTTGTGCATGTTGATTTAAGTTGGCGTCATCTGGGCTCATCATCAGCCACCATTTATATGATATGTATATATATATATATAATTTTTTGCACACCAGACCGTCGACTGATGTAAAGCTGTTTGCTTCAGTATTTTCTTCACCGTCCAGATGAGACATTTTCAGCTCGTTCATTTCATGCCACAGTTTATGGTTATTGTTATTTTTACTCTGATTCACCGATCAATCACAAATGATTTGACTTCGGTCTCTGATAAAAGCACAAGAATCAGAACCAGGTGTGCAGATGAATGTAAGAAGAAAATGTCCAAAACAGTGAATTTGCCGATAAAAATGTCTTTATTCCCTTCTTAAAAGTAAAATATAAAGGATAACATAGTCGTGGCCAGAATTATTGAAAATATGAACAAAGAAGCCAGAAACAACTGAAATGGGGGGAACGTCTCTTTAAGAAAGGAATGTTTTTCTTAAATACATGTTGGCCACGATTATAGAAATCATTGAGTAAAATATCGCTGTAATATACTCACTCTTGAAGAGATCAAAAGTGTATTTTTGATCAGACATCAAGAACAGCATTACCAAACAATGCTTTAAATATTCTTGTAATCAGCAACAGGTGTGGCACTCACACAATTAGGGGAGTGGCTTACAAACGAGTTTAAGGAGGGGAAAAAAAAAAAACGAGAATTAGTAAAACATACCATAATCAATTTCTTGATTGAAACCTCTGGGAAATAATGCATCTAAAGTAAAAATCCAAAAAGTCTCCCTAGATTTACGTTTCACAACAATATCACCTCCGTGATGGACTTGTTTAAAAAAAATAGAATAGAATAAATAGAATAGAATAAGCACAAATAGAATGTGAATGTTCTTTGAATGTTCTGAATGTTCAGACCTGGGTCTGATTGTAAAATATGCCAATATTTCCGTATAATGTTACAGAGTGTTGGAGCTTGGGGAGTGTATGTTAGTAGTGATATGATGCACCTAATGTCAACTTGATTGATGGCTTTGACCTTTGTGACCTTTCCCCTCCCCCACGCGGCCCCTCCCCCACGTTGCGACCACCCACGTTGTGTTGACCCCGGTGGGCTATCCAGATGTGAAAACCAGCATATGTGAAATTCCGACATCAACCTTTGACCTCCGGGGATGAAAAATGATGTTTGTTCAGCTGTATGTATGTGTCCGAGCGGTGATGAAGCAATAATGAAGACCTTAGGAATGTTTTGAAGATTTTAATGGTCTGTTCCCACATCCGGGGGGTTTGCCCATCTGGGGTCCGAGTGTCCGGTTGCATTCCAAGGCATGCTTAGATAAATAGACCCTGCACATCTGGACATCTAACAGGTCACGAGGTCAACCAACGTAGGTGGTCGTGACATGGGGGAGGGGCCGCGTGGGGGAGGGGAAAGGTCACAAAGGTCAAAGCCATCAATCAAGTTGACATTAAGTGCATCATATCACTACTTATGTTGTATCAAATTGTTCAGAGAAGTTTTATTAGCCGGAGTGAGTAGATGTTCCCTTTGTACTGCTTTTAATTTCTCCTCTGCACAATCCAACCATAGCCCTTTTCTTTGAACTTCTTCCACATTTCAGTTGTCTGTTCAATTGTGTGTTGAACAAATTCGCTTAATTCTATGCAGCTGACTCACTGGTAAACTTTTTTTTTGACAACTGTAAATAATTATTCCTATCTGTTTTCTTCCTAAAGAGGTCTGTACTCAATAATTGTCCTGCCTTGTTAACACGGACATCCCAAAAATCCAAAGTGTTCTCACTCAATGACATTGTGAAATTAAGATGGGCTGTTATAGAATTAAGGTACTGATGAAAAGAGTTCAAAGATCATAAATCTCCTCGAAACAGTACAAAAATGCCATCAATGTAACGCTTGTACAATTATATTTGCTGAAAAAATGGATTCTCAGTTCCATCAAGGACCTGAATCAAAGGGTGTCAATAATTGTGGCCAACGTGTATTTTTTTTCACAAAAAAGAGATTTTCCCCTGATTTTCAGTTTTTGTGAATTTTTTTAAATGAATGATCAACAGGATTAACAATGCAGATTTATTTTCACTTGCAGGCTTCTTTGTTCGGGTGTCAATAATTCTGGTCACGACTGTAAACAGAGCGGAAGATGACTTGATTATGTTAATAGCACTGAAAATGAGCACATTGCAGGACGTACAAGCGGTTTAATCGTAGTCGTCTCTGCACATGAAAGTGGGAAACAAGAAAGCATTTTAACACAGAAGGAAATGCCACACTTTATCTTTAATTGGTCGCATGGTAGGGCTGGGTTTTGACACAAATTTCATCATTCAATTCGATTCTGATTCACAAGCTAGTGATTCGAATCAATATCGATTATTCTGGATATATAGCAGGTAGAGTACATGCCAAATTTTCTAGAGGAAAAAAAACTCTCAACTAATGCTGTAAAATATAAATGAGAGTCAGTTGGTACTACATTACTATAATATTGAAGGTTAAAATTAACTGATTTGTATACAAACGCTTAAATTACACTAAATGAAGTTTTTATAATAATACAGTTACAATTACATCATTTCTACTCCAATTCATTTTTTTGATATATAAACATTTAAATGGTGGCTATCATAAAAACTTGACAGATTTATTCAAACATGCTCCTCTCTAGAGTTAATGTTTCTAGCTGACTAACGAGTTTAAGGTCACCGAATATGTTTTTCTGAGGTAAATGTGACGTTACGTAACATTGTAAGCTGTTATACTGATGTCTGTCTGCGGCTGAAACACTGATTGAGCGATTACATGAGACAGGAAAGTTGTACTCTTTCTTTTAACATACCTTTGGATGTTCATTCATGTTTATTTGGTGCTGTAACTTGTAGTAAAGTGGAAGAGAGCCTTCTAACTGAGGCGCTACAGCGATCTGTCACTCCACATTAAGCAGGACCAAAACAGCATTTATTGTTTGAATACTGCAATAAAATGGACAGAACTTGAAATCTGAGACTTTGTTTCATATCAGAAGTAACAAATCACAAAGCTCATTGCGATTTATTGGATGGGAGGCACGCTACAATGTTCCGTTCATCTGAAAAAAGGCTAGACTAATCGATATCGTTTCGTAAAAATGAGAATCGATTGAAATCGAGAAATCGATATTTTTTACCCAGTATTTTTTTTTTCTTTTTTTTTTAGCCCTATCGCATGGGTTTCTTTCTTCACTGGTGGACTTTTAGCCACGGCTTCTTCCAAAGATGCGCAAAATGTATGAGAAGATTTGAATGATGTCCAGATACAGGTTGAGCACGGCGAAGACGTGTTCCTCGGGACTCACAGACAGATTCTTGTTCCCGAGAAGCAGCTGTGTGTCCACGGCCAAGAACTGCAATATAATAAGGTGTTATTTCATTTAATTCTGTTGCATATGCATATATTTTAATTTATTTTAATTATTTTAAAATGATTTATTTCAATAATAATATAAATAAATAATATAAATAATAAATTATTTATTTACCTTGCATTATAATTGAATTCATTTTTAGTAAGAGTTTTATTTTTATTTTTTATTTTAATAATAAATCATTGATTTTATTTTACATTATAATTGAATACATTGCTAGTAATGTTTTATTTTGATTGTTTTTTTTAATAATAAACCATTTATTTACTTATTTGACATTATAATTATTTTTTATTAAATACATTTTAGCAAGTGTTTTATATTTATTTTAATTTTACATCTGTATGATTTAATTAATTTTTTAGCTTTTAATCAACTCGTCTACCCCGGTCTGAAAAACCCTGCCCAAAACAAACGTGTTGTAGAGAAGCAATGACTTACGCAGGTGAAGATCAGCGCTCCCAGAGATGCATAGATGAGGTCCAGAATCCTGTGGTACAGGAAGATGCACAGGATCCCGAAGAACAGCAGGACGATGAAGCAGACGAACAGCACGCCGTAACAGGAAGTGAAGTCATATTTGGTCTGCGATTGAACAGGAGACTTCAGTTATTAAAATCAGCTCATGTAGATGAGGGATGGGAATCATATCTCTTGTGCTTCCGATTCTTTTATTACTGTACAAGAAGTTCTGAACAATACAATAGAAATACTTCAGGAGTATTTTAGCACACTGTTCCGTTCACATCAATGCAGGAAAACAGAGTTGTTATTGTTAACTAAAACTAAACCATAAAAAAATACATTCGCTACTTGAAATAAAATAAAAGTGAATTGAAATAAAATATAGTTACCAGTTAATTTAACTTGATGTACCAAAATAATTAAAATTAATAAAAGATTGAAATAACAAAAGATATATTTATAAAATGTATTTATTTATTTAAATTCAGGGTTAACTAAAACCATAAAAAAATATTTTAATCACTTGAAATACAATAAATGTTAACTTAAATAAAATTAAATATTAAAAAACTCAAACTTGTTTTATTTCAGCTAGTTGCCAAGGAAACATTTCTCATTTTCATTTAGTTTAACCTTAACTACTAAAACTAAATAAACTAAAACTGAACTTTTAAACTAAAATTGTAACTGAAATTAAAAAGTAACTAAAACTAATAAATAAAAATGAATAAAAACTATGTAGAAATATTGTAAAAAAAAATAAAAAAAATTAAATGACTAAATTACTAAAAATGACTAAAACCAGAAATTAAATTACACAAAAAAAATTTTTGAAAAATAATTCAATTCAAAATATTAACACAAATGATAAAAGTATATCATTGATACTAAAATAACACTGGGCAGATGTTTTCGACAATCTTTCGGTTGCAGTACTTTTATTAACATTGCAATTAAAAGCATGGAAATGTTTGTTTGCTATGTTTGTTGCTGACGTGCGGTTCTCGGTTTCCAAATTAAAACAGAAAGACGAGCGCTGACCTGCAGAGAGAAGACGATGACCGTGAAGCAGACCAGCACAGTGATGCCGACGGCCATCATCACGATATCAGTGTCGTAGAAGCTGGAGATCACGCCCACCATGTAGGACATCGCCAGCGTCAGGATACTCTGAGACGCAAGAAACCGTTTATTATTATGCATGAAAGGAGAATTTATGTCTGTTTTACATTTGAAAAAGCCTCATCAGAGATTCACCAGAGCAATGAGGTTCCACGGATGCTTCCTGCGAAACTCTCCGCAGCACAGGATCACTAGGTAGGGCACGAGGAAGACTACATAGCCGGCCAAGTACGTCCAGGCGTTCTGCATCACGAACAGCTTGACATGAGGCTCGAAAGTGAAGACGGCCACGAAGCCGCAGGTGACGGCCAACTGAAGACTCAAAACCGAAAAAACCTGCAAAACACAAATTAAACCACATCAAAACTCACTGCTGGGTTTTAACTCGTGTCATACTACTAGAACGAAAAACATTTTCTTTACTTGAAATAAAAGGGGTATATATATATATATAAAACCTTATTTTAAATAACTAAAACTAAAACTAAAACTAAACATTAAAAAAATATATAGACATATAAAAACTAATAAAAATGACATATACAACAAAGTAGTAAGAATAGTCAAATATTCAAATAAAACATTTCTCCTTTTGATTTAGCTTAACTTGATGTACTAAAATAACTACAACTAAAACTGAAATAAAAATTAAAAACTACACAGACATATTAAAAAAACTAATAAAAATCACAAAAATGCCTAAAAATATTACTAAAACTTTAACTAAAATAAAATGGGAAATAGTTTTATTTTTTTTAAATGAAAACTAATTCAAACATCTCGTTTTCATTTAGCTTAACTTGATGTACTACAATAACTAAAACTAAATCTGAAATAAAAATTACACAGACATAAATAAAAAAAGATTAAAATGCCTAAAAATATTACTAAAACTAAAATTAAAATAATAAAAATATCAAAATCAAAATCAAAATTCATTAAAAAAAAAAAAACTATACAGGCATTTCTTTTTATTATAAAAATGACGGAAACGTCTAACAAAACGACTAAAACTTTATCTAAAATTAAAATGAAAAAAAATTTAAATAAATAAAAAAACTAATTCAAAATATGCACGTGAACACGACGCTTTCTGATGAACCTGACCCTTGTTTTGAATCTGTTAAATCTTTCATTGGTCCTGTAATGAAGGTTCCCTTTCAGTCGGTCACGTTCGACATCACGTCAGAACGTACCGATGAATTGGGATTTCGCCTGAGAGCCCTATCACCTTCGAGTGTAAACTAAACGAGCCAATGCACATTAGTATGTGAGATTTGCATCTCGCGCTCCGCCCCGCAGCACGGGTATAAATGCGGAAGCGGAGCCAAGTGGTCTGACTGTTCTGCTCTACCTATCGTCTTCAAAGAGTATTCTGATGAGCTACGAGTGCTCTGGGGAAGAGGTTCTTCAGCGATGGTGTTTCCCCTGTGCGCTTTAGCACTATAAAAGAGCTAATTTCCCTAAAAGAGCAAAACAAGGTTGTGACGTTGCGTCTTTCTAAAGATGTCATTCCACTCGTGTGTTTCTGGATGCAGTTGTTACCTGGCACCAGATGACAGTCACGATCGTTGCCTCACGTGTCTGGGCATCAAGCATGCTGAGGTTGCTTTAGTGGATGAGGCATATTCCCACTGTGGGTGGGATCTCGGTGTTGCGGTCGAGACTCCAATACCTCAAAAGGGGTGGAGTCCCCTCACCTATGCCCCGATCTAGATCTTCTTCTGTGCTGCAGAAGAGGGCTACTTCAGTGAATAGCCAGGGTGATCTGAGGGTTACAATGGGGGCCAACCCGCCGAGTAAATCTCCGTGGGCCCCCCATTCCTCTTGCACACCGCAAGCTGTGGAGCTCCTGGTTGGACGTGCTGGTCCTTCTCACGAGGGACCGGCCGCCTCATTTGGGGCTCATCCGGACGACTGGATGTCAATTGCGGCATCGGAGGACTCGTCTGCATTGCCCCCTTTGGGGAGAATAGCATTGCAAGAGCCTGACCCAAAGCTGACCGCTATGCTTTCCCGGCCGCCAAGGCGGTCGAGCTTGAGTGGAGAGATCCACCATGTAACGAGCAGTCGAGGCTAGACGATTGGTATCTCGGGGCAGCCCAGGCTGGTTCTCAGCCCCCTACCCCAGTGCCATTCTTTCCAGAAGTGCATGAGGAGGTAACTAAGACATGGACGGCACTTTTTTCTGCCCGAAACCAGTCTAGTATCTCCTCCCCCCTCACTACCCTCAATGGTGTGGTGGCCAAGGCGTACGTGGCGATCCCCCTGGTGGAGCGGGTGGTTGCGATGCAATTGTGTCCAAAGAGCAAAAGTGCAATTGTGTCCAAATGCATCATTCATTCATTCAAAGAGCACTTCCACCAGGAGGGGTAACCCACCCGTCTCCCATCCAAGGCCTGTAAGTTCTTTTCGGTCAACGAATCAGGCCCTGATATGTGCCCAAGGTTCCCATCATGCCCTTCAGGGATCAGGTGGTGAACCTGCAAGCGCTGCCCTCGGAGGAGGCAGACCCAGTCCTAGCTTTGCTATGTCCCGTTCATGCTTTGCGCCTATACGTGGACCAAACGCAGAGCTTCAGGACCTCAGAGCAGCTCTTCGTCTGTTACGGAGATTTGGACAGGACCCTCCCTGCGGGCAGGATGTAGATTCCACAGCGTCCCTGGAAAGGGCAAAGCTTTCCCAGTGTTATCTAATAGTCTTACTGTGTGGGTCAAGAGGAACAACAGTAATAGACTCTCTCCATGTAAGCCCTGTCCTATCTTCCGCCCCAGTAGCCGCGGGGGGATCAGGTGGCTTAGAAGTAGCAGTAGTGGCGCTTTGTTAGGGATCCCAATTCATTGGTAAGTTCTGATGTGACCGACTGAAAGGGAACGTCTCGGTTACGTATGTAACCCGCATTCCCTGAAGGAGGGAACGGAGACGTCACGTCGCGTCGCCACAGTTGCTGTACCACTGCGGGGCACTGGGTCACCGGTTTAGCTCCTCAGCGAAAACCTGAATGTGTGTTGCACCCGCTTCCACTTTTATACCTGCGCTGCAGGCGGAGCGTGAATGCAAATCTCGCACACTAATGTGCATTGGCTTATTTAGTTTACACTCGAAGGTGATAGGGCTCTCAGGCGAAATCCCAATTCGTCAGTACGCCTGACTGACATGACATGTCCGTTCCCCCCTTCCCTCCACATACGTAACCGAGACGTTTGCTCTGTATCAGTGTTTACCTTCCGAATGAACAGTCTTCTGACGGCTTTATTATCGAGTCCTGAGCTGGCGAACTGCTTCTTCTCATATTCTGGAAGAAGATCGCTGTGTCCCGGCTTACCCATCGCCACTTCTGTCACAAAACAAAACTTAGTTTAGAGCTTATTAACAAAGAGTATCTGTCAAATATGCATATTGCAAATTGCACATATGTCTTAACCAGTCTTAAGTCGCTGGGGTATATTTGTAGCAATAACCAAAAATACATTGTATGGGTCAAAATGATCGATTTTTCTTTTATGCCAAAAATCATTAGGATATTAAGTAAAGATCATGTTCCATGAAAATATTTTGTAAATTTCCTACCGTAAATATATCAAAACTTAATTTATGATAAGTAATATGCATTGCTATAAACTTCATTTGGACAACTTTAAAGGTGATTTTCTCAATATTTAGATTTTTTTGCGCCTAACAAACCGTACATCAATGGAAAGCTTATTTATTTAGCTTTCAGATGATGCATAAATCTCAATTTCGAAAAATGTACCCTTATGACTGGTTTTGTGCTCCAGGGTCACATATGAGGTTGAAATATCTCACCGTATGGAAGCGGCTTTTTGTCCGGTCCGCCTCTGTAAGGATCTGCAATGTAAGGAGCTGCTGTAGGATATGGATGCTGTGGATATCCAGAGCCTTCCTGTCTGTACATGGGATTCCCAAAAGCGGTCGGTGGAGCATACGGGGGTGCGACGGGTACAATGACGGGAACACCAGGATTCGATCCTCCATGAGGAACGGCAGCATCATAAGGCGGCGGTGGCGGCATCATGAAGCCTGGCGGCATCTGCTGATTCACCTCGCTGTACTGAGGAGGGTTTTCAAAGCGAGTGTAGCCGCTTTTGTTTTGTGCCATGACTGGATCTTAGTTCTGTGGAAAAAAAAAAAAAGATATATATATATAACGTTTAGTGTGACCGCGGTTTAAGTACTAAATGTAGCCTAAATATCAGGTATTTGTTTAAATATTTGATGCATATTTTAATTATTTAATTAAATAATTAAATCTCACACATCTCACATGGCACTGTAACCAATAAATGTTAACTGCAAACATATAGTGGAGAGTACATGTTGATTTGGTAGTTTGATTGATAGTTTTATCAGATGATTTAATATGCCTAACCATTTGATCGTGTATGTTTGGATCATAACCATATGGTAACCTGTGTTAACTCTTCTTCATTCAAAGCTTCATAACAAATAATCATCCCATGTAATTATGAACAACTATTAACTCAAATAGTGTGAAATAACAGAATCAAAATGTATCAAAGTAGAATTGTGCAAGTTTTGATCATTCATATGTATTTCTTATTTCACTTACTTCATATTGTAATAATAATAACTATTATTCTATTAATGATCAGGCAAGTTTAATATATGATGGTGGTACGACGGTGAGCCTGAAGTGGTCTGGAAATCTGATCTTACTATCTGGGCATTTGCTTACAGATTGGACCTGTATATAAAGATTGTATAAACAGATTGGATATATACATACATACAATTAAATACATCTCTAAAATGCCCCCATGCTGGAGTCCCCCTGAGAATATATAATAATAAATTATATATAATAAATGATATGATAAACTTGATATGATAAATATGATGTGGTGTCTATATATTTATATATTTAACAATATAGATTAAATTGTCTACATATAGAGCCCTTAAGGGACATGGTGATGGAAAAAAAAATTTTTTTTTGCGTTCTCTCACAAAACCAGTTGAGTTCGGACAAACTCTTCCCGTTTACTTTACAGCTTGCAGTGGTTCATACAGCTCCGTATGTTCACAATGGAGAGTTTTATTTTGAACTTGGACTCAAGTATATAAAGAAATACAGTCAGTGCTTAGTTCAAGGCACGGTTTTAGGACATTCTAAAACACTTAATGTGGCTTAATGTTTTAAAACAGTGACATTGGAGGACCAAATTCGATAATAATAAATACTGATAAACTTATTAGGCTAATATTAACCTTATTAATAATATTACTATTAATAAAGCAGAATAATATGAACGCAACGCCCTGCACGTTAAGCTTTTTCTCCCCCACAGAAAACGCTTAAGGTAGCCCTGTTGAAAAAAACAGCATATGCTGCAAAACAGCATATGTTTTGAAGCTGGGATGCTGGTTTGAGCTGGTTTAAGTTGGTCCTTTGCTGGTTTATGCTGGTCCTTTGCTGGTTTAAGCTGGTCAGGACCAGTTTAGGGACCAGCACATGACCAGCTAAGGACCAGCATAAACCAGCAAAGGACCAGCATAAACCAGCAAAGGACCAGC